GATGAGGCTTTCTGCTCCCTTAAAGATTTGCAGCCTCGGAAACCCTATCCCGGGTCGCTATGAGTTTAAATCGACTCCATGGCACATAACCAATCAACCAAGACATATTTTATTTCATTGAAAAGCTCATAACCCCCTCCATGTATCATCAGTTAACAGTATCTGCTTCTATTCTCTCTGTTTTTCTTTTTTGATTTACACAAAAATACACAGGAATATATAATCGTTTACACAACCAAAGGGCGCATTCTGCAAGCCTACCTCCTGGCTGCCACCACATAGCCTTTCTCTTCACATGAGTCTAGAGCTCCTCAGCTGCTCTGTCTCTCCATGTCCTCATCTCTGCCTCCATCTTTGGTGTTGCTCGTGTAGCCTTTCTTGCCTCTTTGCCTTGTGCTCCATTTTATTGTTTCAACTCAGTCCTTTAGCAACCCTTTCTCTTTTAATTTTCCTTTTCTCTGATAACCCAGATCTTATATGCTAAAGGAGAAAATATGTCAGCCTTAGAAGTAATGGGAAACTGGCAAATGCTTATAAATTATTAACTTTTCTTTTAAACTTGTTCCACTTAGGTTTTCTGTGACTGAAAACAGGTATAAGAACAAAAGGAAATATAAATATTTAATTTTTGCTTCATGGATGTATTCATGTTTCCGTCCCTCTTATATTTAACTTTATTTCATATAGCTATTTTTAAAACAGAGCCTTATTTACTATGAAGAGATTTACGGGTTATTTATGGATCTTCATGTCTGTGCATGGTATCAAAAGCACATATTTGCTGTTTGAGAGCCTCCCAAATTGTAACCTGAAAGCCTGGAGGTAGAACCTGAGTTCTAAATCATGCTTGGTTAATTTATATTGATACTGGGGACAATTAGAATTGTCCCCAGTATCAATATAAACTTGCTATCAAATCTTAAATTAGAATCATCACTGACCTTTATTTTCTCCATGAACTGCTAGCAGCCACAAAACTAATTATAAAAACTCATATTTGAGCTAGTTTAATGTCATAGGTTGAATTGTGTTGTTGTTGTTATGTGCCGTGGAGTCAGTTCTGACTCATAGCGACCCTGTACAGGGTTTCCGAGGCTGTAAATCTTTACTGGAGCAGAAAGCCTCATCTTTCTCCCGCGGAACAGCTGGTAGTTTCGAACTGCTGACCTTGCGGTTCACAGCCCAATTCGTAACCACTGCGCTACCCTACAAAACATGTGGCAACTTGGCTAGACCATGATTCTCAGGTTTGGTAGTTATGTGTCAATCAATTGTAAAAGGGTAACATTTGGGATGCAACACCCTTAACCCCCTCACAGCTCTGAGCCAACACAAAGGATGTTTCCCTAGAGTGTGGCCTGCATCATCTTTTATCTTACAAGAGATAAAAGGAGAGAAGGAAGAAGAAAGAGAAACCAGGAGTGGAGTATGTCCTTTGGACCTGGGGTCTCTACACTGAAAAACTCCTAGCCGCAGATGGGGAAGGTTGGTCCCAAGATACCTGGAGATCTCCAATGGAAGTCAGGTGTACAGACACTGCAAGGAGACAGGGACCTTTCCCCTATCCAACAGAGAGACAAAGCCTTCCCCTAGAGACTAAACTGAGAGACAACATTTCTGTTTGTTAAATCCACACATTTGTAGTATTGTTATAGCAACACTAGCTAACTACCACACATCGTTTTCACACAGAAAGTATTCCCATGGTCAGAAATGAAGATTGAAATACTTCAAATCTTTGAAGTTCACATTAAATTCTGAAAATATTTAGAATATTCTGAAGCTTACTATTTATACCAGGTCTCCTTTATTTGAAGTTAGTAGAATCATTGCAAAAGGCACTTCTGATGTCTTCAAAGGTTTCTACAACAGGGTGATAAGTGATGGAGCATATAGACCTGCCTTCTTTGTTAGACAGAACTGTAATATGATCGCCAAGTACCCATGTTGCTGTTGAGTCGGTTCCAACCCACAGTATCCCAGTATAGGGTTTCTGAGGAGAAGTTGGTGAGCTTGAACCGCTGATATCGCGGTTCAAACAGACTTTGCAGTCTAATGCATTAACCTGCAGCGCCACACCAGGACTCCATACTCTTCTATAATCCCTACACCTTCAGTGTGTGAGAGACCTTATGAATATGATGGGATATCATTCCAGTGATTTGGTTCTTTTATATGAAACAGTTGACTTTTAGAAAGGGATATTACTCAGATCGGGCCTGACCTAATCAAAAGAGCCTTTTTAAAGGCACAAAACAGACTTGCAGTCCAGATAGTCCTTTCTCCCTGCTCTTCCGATAAGTACAACTCTGAACCCTGAAAACAACATGAGACAACTAAAGGAGACCTCTGAAAGGTGGAAAAAGGAAGGCAAGTTAGTACTGAGAATGGAGGCCCAGCATAGTGGCTCCCCTCCCCCATCCAAGAGAAACAAATAGCCCAAGTCCAGCATTTTCTCTCAACTGGATGCCAGAAGGTAGCCCAGGTAGGTTCATTCTTTCACCAGATAGAATTGAGAGTGCTACTGAAAATACCAGGCTGAGCCCTACATGACCTGCAAAGGGGAAAAACTGAAGTCTTTCTGACAATAATCCAGGTAAGTGCTTTTCCTCCCTGGGCCTGAGACTCCCTGTCCCCACCCATGTTGTTGTTGTTGTTGTTGTTGTTGTGAAGTGCTGTCGAGTCCGTTCGGACCCGTAGCGACCCTGTATAGGGTTTCCGAAGGGCCGCTGGTGAGCTGGAACCGCCAACCTTGCAATTCAAAAGGTGCATTTACCCACAGTGCCACATGGGTAACCTGAAGAGCTAGCATTGGCCAGAGGAATCCTGCCACAGCTGCCCAACTTGGGGAGTGCATTCCATCCCCCACAAGCAGGGGAGACTATCACAAATGCCTGATCCAAGAAGGGCTCTTCATCCTACTAGATCAGAGAGGTTCTTTCCCCACCCAGAATCCCTAGGTATCCCTGAATGGCAAAGCCTTTTCAACCCGCCGGAACAAAAGGTGACCCCACCTGCAGAAGATAAACCAAGACTCTGAAAACCAGACAGGACCTGCATGATAAATTAAACAAGGGGACTTCCTGCTGAAAAACACTTGAAATAGGACCTCAAATCTTCTAACATAATAGCTAAAATACAATAAAAATGTCATTCATCATTCCAAGAACCAGAGAAATCACATAATTGAGAAATTACAAATCCACTAATGCCAAGCCCTACATATATGTTGCTGTGATTATGGAAACTATGCCACGGGTATTTCAAATACCAGCAGGGTCACCCATGGTGGACAGGTTTCAGATAAGCTTCCAGTTAAAGACTAGGAAGAAGGAGAGACAAGCTACTTCTGAATATTTAGTCACTGAAAACCTTATGAGTAACAGAGAAACACCGACAGATATGTTGTTAAGTGTCATCGAGTCGGTTCCGACCCATAGCGACCCTGTCAAGGTTTCCGAGGGTGTAAATCTTTACGGGAGTAGAAAGCCTCATCTTTCTCCCGC